CCTGCCACATCCCCGGGCCACAGTGGTGGTGCCCTGAGGCCCAGGTGACCTGAACACAGTGTGGGCACCTGCCACCCTGGCGCCGCCCCCACACCGCAGCCCCAGAGGCGTAGGTAGCCCAGGTAAAACAAAAACTTGTGTATATCACCACCTACTGGAAAACAGATGAATGACCTCTAACTACCAACCTGCTGACTTATAAAATCAATCCGGAACCTAAGTATGAAAAGTTGTTCACCACTTGAAACCAGCCAGCAGAAGTACAACCCATGAAACACCGTGAACAACAACAGTGACACAGCAACACAGAGAAAATGACAGGTCTCCAGAAACCAAGCTCACAATCACGAACAGTGACCTCATGGCGGACACAACAGCCACCATGGAGAAACAAGACACTAACGTGCAAGGCAGCCCAATGAGCTCAGGAACAAAACCACTGAGCAGAGCGGGCACCTGACCCGAGAGACTGAAACCATGAAGAACCAGAGAGACTCTGGAGCTGAGGAGCCCCACAGACTGGAAGATGCACTGGAGACAGCACACCACGTGGGGGAGCTAGCGAGCCCGAGGACAGATGGGTGGAAGAGAGCTATGGGGCCTACCCGACTCCCGAGAAGGGCAACACAGGACAGCGGGATCCCAGGAGAGAGGGGGGAGAAATAATCGAGAGCTCCCCAAACCATTAGGCTGACAGAACACCTAATTATCTCAACGCCGAAAGAGCTTTTCCAAGACACATGTTAAAACTGTCAGAAATTAATGACAAAAAAAGTTCTCAAGGCAACCAAGGGGAAAAGCCGGTCACTGCCACAGGAAACCCCATCAGGTCACCGGCTTTCTCAGCAGAAACTCTACAGGCCAGGAGAGAGTAGAATGATATATTCAGCCAAGCTATCCTTTAGACATGGGGAGAAGTAACGGCTTTCCCACCGTGTGAGAGCTGCAGTGTGCACCACAAGAAATGCTGCAAGGAGCTCTCCTACCTGATGCAAAAAAACAAAAGCACACAAGACTTTAAGGTGACAGACAGACAGAAGCAGAAAATTACAGCTATAATTCAGAACAGAGTGTCAAACATTTAATCATAGCATAAAAGTGAAAGGGAAAAAGAGCATTAAAATAACTATAGCTGCTTTAATTTAGTGATGAATGAATATAAGAGATAATCTGTGACGGGAGGAGGAAATGGGTGAGCTCGTAAAGGCAAATGAAGAAAAGAAGCTATCAGAAGAAAAAGACCTCTTTTCTCTGTGAGACGTGCTATACAAACCTCACAGTAACCACAAAACAAATATCCAGAGCTGAGACATGAAATGTGAAAAAAGAGAAAACAGGATTAACGTCAGAAAAAACCACCAACCTGAAGTAGCAGATGAAACCCAACGGGAAAGAAACAGGGAGACATGGAGCAACCAGACAACAGAAGATAAATTGGCTGTAGTGAGTCCTCACACTCAATTATCACCCTAAATGCAAACAGAATGACCTCTCTGGCCACAAGGCAGAGTGGCTGGATGGACTAAGAAACAAGACCCACCTACATGCTGCCTTCAGGACACCATCTCAACTCCAAAGGCAAACATAGACTCAAAGCAAAGGGTGGAAGGTGATACCCCAAGCAAATGGTGTCCAGAAGAAAGCAGGCACAGCCATACGTATATCAGACAAAATAAACTTCAGATCAAAAAAGGTAAAGAGACAAAGATGGACATTTTATACTGAGAAGGGAACAATCCATCAAGTTGAAATAACATTTGTTAATATATATGTACCCAACGTAGAAGCACCAAAATACAGGAAGCAATGACTAACAGTCATAAAGGTAGAACTAGACAGCAACATGTAACAGTAGGAGACTTGACTTTACGCCCCCACCAATGGATAGATCACCCAGGTAGAAAATCAGTAAGAAAACTACAGCCTTAAGTGACACATTTGGCCAAATGGACTTAATACTATGGCACAACTATTGCGTCAATGAAAAAATAAAGGAAGAAACCAAAGACACACAGAGACCAATGAAAATGAGAATACGACATATGAAAATCTTTGGGATGCAGCAAAAGCGGTACTAAGAGGCAAGTTTATAGCAATACGGGCCTATCTCAGGAAGAGGAACACTGTCAAATAAATGATTTAACGGTACACCTTAGGGAAATGGGAAGAGAACAAATGAAGCCCAAAGGACAAAGGCAGAAGGAAGGAAATAACAAAAATCAGAGCACAAATAAATGAAATAGAAACAGAAAAGATTAGTGAAACAAAGAGCTGGTTCTTTAAAAAGAAAGAGAATTGACAAATGTTTAGCCAGACTCACTAAGGAAAAAGAGAGCAACTGGAATA